CCGAGTGGCTCACAAAGGGCCGTTGGTCTCGGGGTGGCCACCCCCTAGATCCACAGAGGGCATGCCGCACGGAACGTGCCCGCTAATCCAAACTGAAGAGAGGGGTAACGGTCCCCATCTCCTCCCCTAGCGAAGAAGGGGCTGCAACGGAAGCTGGCTCCCCTCGCTCTGGAGACGCTTCGGGAGACCAACCAGGGCGGCTGGTGTCCCAGGGCTGCGGGGAAGGCGGCCACAGAGGCGGGAGGACATCAGCTGAACTCGCTGCTCTGGTGCCTGGGCGCGTCCCCAGAAAGGCACGGACTACCTGGCCTAGGTGCTCCCAGGGCAGGCATGCGTGTCTGCTTCAGAAGCGCGGCTGGTTCATCGTGGTTGATTTAATCCACAAGGAGGCGCAGCACGTATGGCTGCTATTTTCAATATGCAGCCTCCGATCAGGACAATCAAGGCTTGCCTTGTGTCATGCAAACCCAGCCATCATGGGTTAGGCAAGGTTTAAGCAACTCTCATGCAGTCCTGCTAGTCATGGGTTATACAAAGGTTACCTGGAGTAACAGTACGACTGGGTTCGCACGACGCAGTGCAGCCCGGCAGTCTGCACAGTCATCACATCGCCCACACAAGCCACAGTCCACCGTGGGTGAGTCAGTCACGCCGTGAGCCAGCCCATTCCACCAGCTTTCCCCCGCCTGGCCCCCGCTGGATGCGCCAGGCCACCGCCACCGCCTCCCCGGCCAGCGTGGCCAACGGACGGGTGGGGGCCATCGGAGCCGCCAGCCTAAGCACCCGCGCGCACCATGCTGGGGAAGGCTGCGTGCCCGGTTCCGTGCAGGGAGCCACACCGGCACCTGGAAGCATCTTCTGCTGGACGGGGCTTCAGCCCATCGGTACTGGGCGCAACTGGGAAGGTCGCCCAGCCCCTTCTTGCCGACATGGACCATCAGGCTCTGCCAGAGGTGCTCAAGGCTACACACAGTGACCATCTGCCTGAGGGCTGCCCTTGGAGGCTTCAGCCCCTCGTACCAGCAGCGGGGCATTGGCTCCCGCTTCCTCACGTCTCCCGCTTCCTCACGTCTCCCACGGCAAGGTGCTGCCGAGGACCTTGACCCCCAGGCACCTGCGGCACCACCGCACCCACTGCAGTGGCCAAGACTAACGGCACACGCCCCCTCAACCCACCACCCCTCTGCATGCCGCACCCCCATGGCTGGAGCACCTTCTGCACAAAGGGGATCCCAGTCCATCTCCCACTAAACCGCTTCTGCTCAGCCACTAGCAAGCCACCGAAAATCCAAGTTAAAGACACCGCACCAAGCTGGACCGCTGGTTGAGCACTGAAGGCGGCAGCCCATGCGATGGCTGGAGCACCAAAAGGTCACCACAGCTCCCGTTGCCTGAAGCGGGGCAAGCATCTCACAGGATTTGCGTAAGGTTTACTTTCGGCTGGCTTCTGAGGGGCAGAACAAGGGGAGGGACGGCGCTTAAGGCCTTTCTTAATACTCTTTATTCTCATTCCTTTAACGTTCGCACTGGCCTGATTCCTCATGATGGGAAGGTGACAAATAGCATGTTTAAGCCTCTTGTTTGTCACCACAAAGGAACTGCTCTTTTGCTTCCTGTTGAAAGCCCGTCAAATATGCCAAAGCTCCGATTACATCTCTGCTTCCTCCTCCTTTTGCCAGACTTTGTTTCTCCCATCTGACTGACCCTCCTCCCAATATCGCCAGTGAGGGAGGAGGGAGCCTCATGACAGGCACAAGCAGGTTCTGGCCGACCTCGTGGGGGCAGAAGGAGGGAGAGAGAGAGAGAGAAGGGGTGGACATCAGCCCTGGCAGCCTCACCCTCGGCCTCGGTGCCTCACCAGGAGGATAAACCTTAGGAAGGCTTTGAAGTCACGCTGGGAAGCACACGGGTGTGTGTTTCGCTGGGAAGGGACGAAGCCCCGGAGCATTTCTGCTGGTTAGAGACGCCAGTGAAGACGCCATCTTGCCAACTGCCAGGCGGTGGCTTGCCCAGGAGGGCTGGCCAGCGCAGGGACCACCCTGCCCCCCTGGGGCTGTCCCACTCCTTGCCTCCTTTTCAGCAGATGGTTCAAGGAAAAGGGGTGCTTTTGAAAACCAGGAGAGCCATAAGAACCCCCCAGAACCTGCAGTTGTGTGATGCACCAGTACACTGAAGGCTTGTATTCAATTCTGTGACATTCTGACTGGACCTTTGAAAAACATTTCACTTGATTGTCCTCCAAAGACACTCCAGTGACACACACAACAGCCTTAAAATGTTATAGCTGTAACCAGCCCTGACCGAAGATGAAACGCGGTCAAGAGGAGGAAGCTTCACCAGCAGAAGCCGATCTGGTAAAAGACACACAAGTGTGTCGAGGAGCACCAAACGCTTGCATCGGGAGGACAGGAAGGGGGGCTTTCCCCGGCGTGCTCCTTCAGACGCGCCAGAGCATCCATTTCGATTGATTTCACAAGGTGCTTCCGAGAAGGCGCACTGCGCCCTTCGTGAGATGAGGCGTCCAGCCTGAGCGCGCTCCCTGGGAAGGAGGTTCCCCTGAACTCCCAGAAATACTCGGGGGAGGCAAAGTGCATCAGGGCTGAGGTGGCCTCCGCTCTGGTGCATGAAGAGAACAAGTCGGAGTAACAGAGGCTTTTAACTTCCTTGTCTGGGGGGTCACAATGACCCCGGGAGCTACTGCCGCAGTCCTGCAGCGCCAGAGCCGGGGGTGGCCCACCCGGGCACCGCAGAGCCACCAGGCAAGCGGCCCTGGGCTTCCTCAGCCCAGAGCCCCCCGTGGGCACAGGAGTGCAACTCTCCCCCCCGCAGCCCCCACACCCAGGGGCTGAGCTGGCCGGGGACCACAGGAGCTTTAGTTAACCCCACTTGGAAGGCACCGGCTGGGGAAGGGAGCAGTAAGGCCTTCCCTCCGCTTGTCCTGTGCTTTGCTTCCTGGGGAGCAGCTTTCCTGAACGCCCGAAGGCTTGACTGCTCCATCCTGCAGGCGCATTTTTTCATTATTGTTCCTCTTCAAAGACAGCCTGGGCACACAAGCCACCGAGGCAGAAACGTTTTTATAATGTGTTTGTGAAGCAGTCAACAGAAAGGGAAATTCCCGGCGGCTCAGTAGGCCTTCCTTCCTAGTCAGAATATTCTGTCCAGGACAAACGGCATGGCAGTTTTCTCCCCCCTTTTTAGTTACTGGAATCTCAGAAGGATTTCACTGTGCTTTAGTCACCTCTGCTGCATTCCTATGCTACCCCTCCTCAAAGGAGCGGAGTGTGACCCTGCCACCCCACAACCGCCCTGTGAGGACAATTTGCCAAGCGGGGATCCCAGCGTGGGAATCGGCAACCTTCCCCATCTAAGAGGCTGACATCACAATCCCATCCTGCCTTCACCTCCGTGGGGCGTACCCCCTAGCGAAGATGTCTGGGATCCCGACATCTACGCGCGTCGGCCCAGAGGGGCGCCTCGGCTGTGACACGACGGACTGTGCGCTAAGAGGCCTGCAGCACTAATGGGCTCCTCCCAGTTGTCAGTCCTTCCACCGCTGCGACCACCACACTTCAAGCCGCGCTCAGCCACGGGGGCTGGAGGCTAAGCACGTGCTCCTTCCCACCTCCAGGGAAGAGCCTCTCGCCCCAAGGGCTGCAGGCGGGGCGCAGATGAGCGCAGGAAGCCAATACCCAAGGATTGCCGTGCAGGGAGCGGGGGCGATTAGGGGCCACCGGAATGGGGCTGAAGGGGCTGCCACAGGGGCAGTGCATGCTCTGAGGACTCCGAACCCTCACCCAGGGCATCTCCAAAGTGCTTCTTCGGCGTGAAAAACCGTTATCCCGTCCTGCGGAAGTGGATGGAGAGCGGCGCCTAGCGGCCTGCAGAATTCAGGGCCAGGGCAGGAGGCAGTCTGGGGCCTTCCTCCTTGACGGCGGTCTCTGAGCCACTGCACAAGGCCTGCTCCCTGACCGACCGGCCGGCCGGCCGGCCGGCCGAGGATGCATGGACAGACTGTCCAAAAAGGTCTGGAGCCTGTCAAATAAATAATGACTGACCTGTAACCCACTGCGCAGTTCAGGGCTATGGCTGGGCCCGCAGCGTTCCTGGCCTGTTCTGGACACAACAGCCTCTGTCTACGCCCATGCTGCGCCTCCGTACAGCAAAAGACAGCCCCACATTCTCCCAGGGCACTTCTGCAAGGCCTGCAGCCCCTTGTTCAACCCACGAGACTCCTAGCTGTCGCTGATGGGAACCGGCAGGGAAGCATCGCATGGCACGCTACTCGGTGCATTGGTTTTTCCCTGTAAGGTTTATGATTTTCTGGCCAACGCGACCGGACTTTCCCAGGCCACATGTACTGACACAAGGGCCTCGAGGCATGTCACCCCCCCCGAGGGAGGGCAAGCTGAACAGAGGGTCATGCAAACACCAGGGCTCTAAGGCAGGGCTCAGTGGCAGGCGCAGCGTCCCCCGCGGACCATCCAGGACACGGCATTTTGCTGCCAGATGCCTCCAGGGATGAACCAACGAACCCGGCACAGACAGAGTGAGGCCCCGGCCTGCCTTTCCCGGCCATTTCACACATGCTGGGAAAAGCGGGACCGAAGCAAAGAACAGACTGCCCCCTTCTCTGAGGGGAGGGCGGGACCACAGAAACACAGTGAGCCTATTCGATTCTGAAATCCTTGCGACCAGCAACTCGGTGTCCAGAAAGGCATCTCAGCCTTCTGAAAAGGAGGGAGCAGGACTGCTCAACCAGGGAAATGCCCAAGCATGTCCAGGTGTGGGGGGAAAGGTGGAAAAAGGAAGGGGGCGCAGGCCCTGGTGGCTCTGCAGCGTGGGATTCAGGTGCGTGAGGTTTGGCCCAAGAAGGCTCTCTTCCCTCCCGCTCTCTGATATCCTCCTATCTGGGAATGCCGGAGGGTGACCTTGGACCCTCAGGCATGCAAGCCACAGCCCTTCCTGCCCCACCGGCAGCACTGCCCCCGCCCCAGCCCTACCTTCCTCCACGTCATTGCGGCAGGCTGCCTCCAGCAGCCGGATATTCTCCGGGAAAGCCACGTGCCGCTCCTTGCAGCTCCCTCTCCTCTTCTTCTCCGTTCTGGCCTTCTTGCCCTGCACCTCCTTCTCAAACTGCGCCCACTTCTTCAGCTGCTGGGTGCGGCGCTTCTGGGCATGCTTCAGCCGCTCCTGTGTGCCCATTCGGGCCACCGCTGACATCTCCGCCAGCAGCTCCAGGTGCTCCGCCATGGCTGGGCGATCTCTTTCCGTCTCCTACGCTTCACAGTCCGAAGGATACCAGGAGCATTTGGGCAGGCTGGCTCAGGGTGCATATTAAGGGTCCCGGGCCCCCATCGAGCATCACTGGCAGCGCGCCAGAAGAAACGTGCGCAGAGGGAATGCTCGCCGCTGCACGGGGAGCGCTCACGGAGTCGGCAACGCCCCTGCTGTCAACGCAGGGCCATCCTCCACGGCCCTCCCAAGCGAACCAGCAAGTTGGCCGCCCCGCACCTGAGCGGCTCAGGAGGCGCGAGGCTCTCCCCAGGCGGCCCCCGTGCCCGTTGACCAATGCGACATCCTGGGCCCCCCGGAACTTTTGTCTCCCTTGTCAAGCCAGGCACAGGCCGGTCGAAGGAGCAGCTGTCGTGCGCAGGAAGACGTCCGTTGCAAGCACCCCCAGGGGGGTTTCGGTCGTGCCCGGGAGGTGCTGCCACCACTGACACAGCTTTCCGGAAGGGGCAGCCCTTTTGCTCCGTAAGGAAGCCTGTCCCAAGCTTGTCGAGAGCAAGCCTGAAGCACAACCCCCCGTCCTTGCCCGCTGCTCCAATCCTTTGCTGGGCTTCACGAGCCCATGGCCCACCCCTGCTCTGCTCTGCTCCGTTCAGGGTTCGGTGGCCGGCTCTCCAGGTGCATTCCCTGGGGAAGTGCAACCGCTCGGGCCGTGCAGTAAATCTTGTTACCCAGACAGCAGCCGGTCTGTTACCTCTTCTGCTCGCAAATCAAGCTCTCCGACAGCCAACGAGGGCAGGTCTCCCCAGGCGGCCAACCCATTCCAAGCTGCCACTGCCGAACAGAGGGACTCCTGCCAAGACAAGGAGCCCACAGAGGCGCTGAGGGAACTGCCTGTGGCTGCCGCTTCTTCCAGCGCAGAGCTCGGAAAGGCCTGTGCCGTCTCCCCTACGATCTCCCCACGGAGCAAACAGCTGCTGCTCGTTTCCAGCCAGCTCTAATCTTGCTGCTTCTCTGGCAAAAAATGTGAGGAGGAGCCGCTCCCCTGGGGCCTCGGTCTTGCAGCTTCGTGGTCTTTCATGTGTGGCACAGACTTGAGCGAAAAGGCCGCGGAAAGCCGGGCCAGGGGAAGGAGTGTCTTCCTCCGCGTCTCACTGCCCGCCCCGGGCCAGGATGGTCCCAGGGCCCGCAGCCAGTCCAAGGTCCACCTGCCCGCGTGCTCCCTCCCGGCAGCCTCTCAGGAGCGCAGCCGAGCGAACCGGCCAGCCAGGGTGAGCCGTGCTCGCTCGCGGCGGACTCCTCCTCCAGCCGCTCTCCCCAGGCGCGGTGCCACTTGGGCACTGGGCTGAGCTTCCAGCCGCCCACGGCCGGGAACCCTCCCAGCGCTCCTGCAACAGAAGAGGCAGAGGAAGCCAATCAGAAGTGGGCAGGCGGAACGCGGAGAAGTGCAGGCAGGAGCCCGGCCCTCTTCCTACCTCACACGTCGTTGTCGCTGGGTCTGCGCTGCCTTAATCGAGGATTAACCTACAATCAAAATTTAAGCAAATTACTTGGAGCTTTGGCGGTGGAAATGCAAAGCTGCTTTCCCTTCGAGCTTCCTGCCCTCCCCCCCCCCCCTGCCCTCACCAGTCTCCCAGCGCCCCTTCCCTTCCCCTTCCATGAATGCCTAACAGGAATGCAAGCAGCCAGCTGGATGGTCCTGTGCACATCCAAAGCTGCGAGGGGCAGGGGAAGACGAGGGTCCTGACCTCTGCCCGCCCCAGTCCAGCCAGCTGCCTGCAAGCCCCGGAGAACAAAGGCCACTCACTGTGCACCAGGAGCCAGATCAGCTGCTCACCTGGGGGAAATGTAAGCAGCTCCCTTGCTGGGGCCCTGTCCCATCTGTATCCGATGTGGGGCAAAGTGTGGGGGCAGGAGAGGAGGAAAAGAGCCAGAGAGAAAGGGAACGGGACCCCAGGCTTACACTCTGCACCCCAACCGCACTTCCCTCCACTGCCTACAGATATTCCGCAGAGATCATAATATCTAAACCACGTTTAACTCTTTCCTAGCTCTTTCTCAGGAGAGGCCTGGAGCCACAAGTCTTTCTATTACTGCTACAACAGACTCATACACCCACCTGTCCAGTACGCAAGTTACTACCATGAGTAATTCCTCAGGAGAACTCAGGCTGAGAAACTATGCGTGGCGTCCTGAAGGGCCGCAGCGAGCGGCTGGCGGGTGAGACTCGGACCTACCTATCCACGCTGCCCACTCATCGCTTCACAGTCACACACGCTCACCCTGAGGGCCTTGGGCGTGAAAGCGACCACGTGCCTCCCCAGACTCTCACACTCGCCACGGGGGTTTCAGTGACCGCTTTGCACTAGTCCGAGCACGCGGATAAACTATGGAAGTCGCCACCGCAAGTCAGACCCACCAACACGGGCGGCTCGGAACAGAACGCCGAAGCAGGGAGGCCGCTGGCCTTACGCGGCTCCTTCAGCTCGTGCTTTTTTTCACCAGAACGAAGGGAAAAATAACCGGTGTGCCAGGCACGGAAGCATCACACCCAGATGGTCTTTCTCAACACAGCAAGATAGCAGTTGCGTGGTACACATCCTGGAACTTCTCCAAAGGAACATGCAGGGGCCAGATGAGAGCCGGGCAGACCCATGAATAAATTCACCCGGCTGCCCATCGCAACCGCTCCAGCTAGAAAGCAGTTTCCGAAGAGGTACCTGCCGCAGCCACGCCAAGCCGAAGCCGGTTTGTTCATCTTTAAGGTGCCACGAGGCGCTTTGCTGTTTCAACTGGAAAGCAACTCTTATGTAATTCACCAGGACCCAATTGTGAGGAAACTCGTTTGGCCCCAGGCAAGAAAGTGAGTAAAAGACCCAATTAGCCTCCATACAAGAAGGAAGGACTCTCTGCATTCCTGGACAACTTCTTCATTATCACCACACTGTTCCCATAAAACTCCTGGAGTGGAAGAGTCCAGCCCACGCGGAGCCAAAACATTTCGCACCCAAACCCCAACAGGTTGGTTCATGCAAAGGCAACCTGTAGCCAGGACTGTGGCTATGCAGTCACACTGAGCAAAGCCCAAAACTGGCACAGGTTTCGAGGTTCCGGACAACCCCACCTTCCCCTTTTGTGCTTGCTACGCACTAGAAGGGGTTGGTGCTGAGCTGGCTGCCAAGAACGGCTTTCAGACATTCGGGAAATGCATGGCAGAAGCTTCAAGTCTGGGACAGTGGTGGGAAAAGAGCTCAGGACTGCTATCGAAACTGGGATGAGGAGGATGTAGATGATGCCAGTGGGAGTGGAGTTCCCTGTCCCGAAATGTTATTGGTGTCTCTCCATGACTAGTGGAACCAGAATCATGCAAAATAATAATCAGCAAAGATATGCCTGTTTACACAATCTATGCAGGCTGCAAGAATTTGATTGTAACGCGCCTGCTGCGCAACAGGGGCTGTAATGTTATCATGCGGCTGAATGTTTTCCTAATATTGTGAGTGGTTGCCACGGGCTGGCTGGAAATGCTTCGGCAAGATGGCAGGATCCTGTTCCTAAGCTCTTCTGTGTTTTCATGAGCTACAGATTACCAAAAAAAGAAAAAAAGATGCATTGTTTGCATCCAGCAACCCAGCCAAGTGCTCCTGCCAACCTGCAGCACCTTAGCAGTCCGGACAGAGCCTGCCAAGGTAGAATGAGCAACCAAGTTTTTGATCCCTTTTGGGCTGCCACAGACATGAGGGCTCGCCTCTTGTGAGCATGCACAGACAGCCAGATCTGAGGGCTGTGCCCCACCTTCCACTGCAATATTGTAAGGGTTCTGGGGTACACCCTGCAGATCACCCTCTGCTTCAGTGGCACCCCAAGCAACTGCCGGGAGCTGTTGGCACTATCAGGACACCCAGAAAACAAGGTGAATGACCCTACGAACCTACGGACCCTACGAACCGTGCAGTGCCTGAAGACAGAGGGCACCGTCTGATGCACCCAGGCATTTCCACAGGACCGTGTCCACCATGGAGGGCAGGCAATTCAAATCTGCAGTTTTATTCCCCTTCTCAGGCTCACTGATGAGACTTGTGACAGCAGCCTGAGCAATTCTCCCGAGAGGCACACGCCGGCTGGCACCTGGGCTCCTCATACTCAGGGCAGCCGCTGGTCTGGCCGTCCCACAGGCAGCAGGCCCTTCCGGGAGACACTGGTGCGTCCAGGTAATTTCGGTCCTTGGACCGGATGTTCCTATGGCTAACCACCCTGGAGAGGGCCATGCACGGTCCTTGGGTTGCGAAGGAGAGGGTGAGCATTCCTCTCCCCCACGGCTGCTCCCTGATGGCCATTTGAGGCTCCAGAGATCAGCCCCTGGGTGTAGCCGCAGCTGCCCCATGGCACCATTTTGGTTTCACAACAAGACCGCCATCCATGAGGAAAACTGTGTCACTTCAGCCCCACCTCTGGAGCCAGGCAAGTCTTCGCCTCCCCACCTGGCATCCTTTCAGTCCCATCCATTGCTAAAGAGCTCAGGAAACCTGCCTAGGGTGAAATATGTAGGAACTCCCTGAATAAAGAATGCAAAGAATCTTTCCAAGAACAGGAGAAACTCATACAAACAAATCTTAACAGCTCCACAATGTTAATTGCTTTCATTAGCCCCATGAGAACATCCCAGAGAAGATGCATGCTTCTGAGGCCTTCAGACCCTTTTTCAGGCAGGGTGCGCCAAAAGCAGGCTTGGTGGGGGTGAGGGGTGGAGGAGAGAGAGGAGGAGGAATTTTAAACACCCAGGATGTTGGTGCAATCAGCATCTGCACGTTCAGAGTCCCAAAATGCAGCCTGGAAGAAGAGGCCTGCAGACTGTCGAACTAAGCTTGGCGAATCATGTCATGGTTCCAGGGTTGGAGCTGTAACCATAGCTTGGAGCTTGGGGCTACAACAGAGGGGGAATAGTGGATCCCCCACTTTTAGAAACAAAACCCAGCTGTTACTCAGAAACACATAAAAAACAGGGGGGAAAGCAAGTCAGGAGGGGACCTCCCAGGCCATCTAGTCTGACCCCTGGCTCCAGTTGGCTCCGCTCATGTAATCCCCAATCCCAAGACGTGTTTCATCCTGGACAAATCACTCAAGTGCATTTTATCGGTGGACCTACAAGAGAAACTGATCAGCTGTGCTGAGTTCACCTTCCTTAGGGGGTTCCCCCACCTTCCCAGGCTTCCTTCCCAACTAACATGGGCCTCCGATGATGATGGTGGTGGCAGCAGCAGGGCGCGGGGTGAGACATCCACCCACTGGGTGGCAGGAAGAGAGGGACAGCTGCAGGAACTGGTTCCTTCTTCCTTTCTCCAGGGTCAAGAAGCTCCCTTCACACACTGGCGCCCAGTCTTGCTCATTTTCTTGCTCATTTGCAGCTCAGGCGCCTGCAGGCTTCTGCCAGTCCCGCTGAGCAGCCTCCTCTTCTTCAGAAGGAGCCCCACAGCCCGCTGGCATCCTTCAGGGATGCTCAGCACTTGCCCGCACCTCCCGCTCTGCACAGTAACCTGCACATCACCATTAACTTCCTGGAGCGGAGAAAACTTACAGAAACAGTTCTAAGGAACCAGTTGCCTGCACAATGTTGCTGGTTAAACAAACCCTTGACCAGCCTGAGTGAAGGCTGCAGCTGCTCAGAGTTCACCTGCACTGACCACAGAGCCACCTGGAGAAGCATCAGCTGCTGGACCGGCGATCGCGTGTTTATACTCGGTTACCTGGCCAAAAATATTTCCACTGGGCTGGCAGGTTCAAGGCAAGGACACCAAGCCCCGAAATGAAGCACGACCTAGCAAAAGGCGTGATTCTGAGGTCATCCACTCTGACCTCAGAAGCGTTTGGCCCCCCTGAGGTCCTCTGCTCAGGAGGAGCCACTGTGCCAAAGCCAAGGCAGACACCACTTACGGGGTGGCACAATATCCCCCAGGCGGGTGCCCCCACATGTGCTGGCCTGCATCTCCCATCTTCCACCCCCTGATCTGGAGGGTGCCAGACTGGGGAACCTGGTGTGCTTCAAGTGCCACGGCTGGACGGGGGAGATCCGGATCCAGTCACCCACCCCCCCGCCGTTAAGGGCACTGGCTGGCCTCGCACCAGTCTCCCTTGCTTCCCACGTAAGCATCCCTACAGCACCCCGAGATCCCTTTCACAAGAGCTGCTCTCCGGCCACTCGCCCCCCATCCTGTACCTGTGACACCTCTCCCTGTGCCCCACGGGCAAGACCTCGCACCTCTCCACACTGAATGCCATCCTGCTGCCCCCCCCCCCCACCTCCACAGCCTGCCCACACTTGACGCAAGGATGCCAAGGCAGCCCCGTTCAGTTCTGCAAGTGTGGCAGAGACCGCACAGCACACAAGACGCACCCTGGCTATTCCCAGCGGGGAAATGCAAAGCGTCGTATTGCTTTTGTGCCCACAGCGTTCCAGAATGCCCACCTCTGCCCTGAGCAGGGTCCTTAAGGCACGCCCAGGACGCTTTCTCCAAGCCCGAGCTGGC